GGCCAGGATTCCCCCCAGGGCCAAGTGGCTGCACAATTCAAGGGGCATTGGCCAGGTCCTCGGGCTGGACCCCACAATGGCATCAGGGTGGAGGTGTGGAGAGGCAAAAACCAGCACCACGGTCACTCAGACGTTGTGGTGGTAACAGGAGCCAGGCAGCGGGGGGTGGCTTTAATGAGCATCTCCATTTGCACCCCCAATATATGGCCTCTGAAGTGCAAACACAATCCTCATCAGCGGGTCCCCAGGCTGTCCCTAAGCAGCACTGGGGTGACACAGCCCCCATGCCCTGCACAGACACCAGAGTCCCCCCTCCCCAGAGGTTTTGGGGGCTCTTCTGTACTCCCAGCTACAGGGTGGGTGCAAGGACTGCTCTCCATGTTGGCGTGCACGGCCGTGCCCCAGCCTGCCCCTGCGCTTGGTTGCAAAACCTGACCCAGAAATTGCTTTGAGGGGGGAGCAGTGGCCGAGAATGGCTCCCTGAGACCTGCACCCGAAACAGAAAACAGGGTCCCGGCTGGCGCAGTGATAAACAGGGTGTCGTGCCAAACACCAGCGCCCGGCCGCAGGGAGACCTGCAAATCCCGGCAGCTGCAGGAGAGAGGTAATTATAGCACCGTCACCCATGGGTCACACTGTGGAGGGACGGGGTAGGGTGGGACGGAGCCGCTGCACCCACAGAGGCTGTGGGCAGGAGGGGGTGGGTGCTGGGGTGCAGGGGTGGACAAGGACGGGAGTGTGGGGGTACATGGGTGCATGAGTTCATGGGTAAATGGGTGCACAAATGCAGGGGTGCATGGGTGCACAGGTAAATGGGTATACAGAGTGCATGGGTACATGAGTAAATAAGTGCACAAGCACATGGGTAAATGGGTGCACAAGTCCAGGGATATACGGGTGCATGGGTACATGGGTGCATAGTGGACAAGGACGGGAGTGTGGGGGTACATGGGTGCATGAGTTCATGGGTAAATGGGTGCACAAATGCAGGGGTGCATGGGTGCACAGGTAAATGGGTATACAGAGTGCATGGGTACATGAGTAAATAAGTGCACAAGCACATGGGTAAATGGGTGCACAAGTCCAGGGATATACAGGTGCACGGGTACATGGGTGCATGAGTGCACAAGCACATGGGTGCATGGGTATCTGGGTGCATGGGTAAATGGGTGCACAAATGCAGGGGTACATGGGTGCAACAGCACATGGGTGCACAAGTGCATGGGTTCACGGGTGCACAAGTCCAGGGGGTATAGGGGTGCAGGGGTACATGTGTCCACATGTACATGGATATAAAGGTGTATTGATGCATTGGTACATGGGTGCATGAGTTCATGAGTAAATGGGTGCACAAATGCAGGGATGCATGGGTGCACAGGTAAATGAGTATACAGAGTGCACGGGTACATGGGTAAATGAGTGCACAAACACATGGGTAAAAAGGGGTGCACAAGTCCAGGGATATATGGTTGCATGGGTACATGGGTGCATGGGTACCTAGGTGCATGGGTAAATGGGTGCACAAATGCAGGGGTACATGGGTGCACAAGTGCATGGGTTCATGGGTACACAGGGTGCATGAGTGCACAAGTCCAGGGGTATAGGGGTGCAGGGGTACATGGGTCCACAGGTACATGGATATAAGGGTGTAGGGATGCATTGGTACATGAGTGCATGGGGACATGGGTGCACTGGCCCCATTTTCACCACAGCCAGCCCCCGCCAGGGCAGGGCAGGGCAGCGCCCGCAGCTGTTTTGGGTGCTCCTTCCGGACAGGCTCACATGTCGACCAAGTGACCGTACTGGGACCGGCCAAGCACATCTTGCAAAATTGTCCCCATTTTGGCACTTGGGGCTCTTCCAGGAAGGACCTGGCACGGCAGCGGGGCCAGCTGAGTGCTCAGGAGGGCAGTGCGGGGGCGGCCACCCACCAGAGCCAGGAGTTGGGCACCCACACGTGCACCCATCCCCATGGGGGTGGCATTGATTTAATTAATTGCTTCGGGGCTCGATTAAGGGGATTCACAGGAATGGAGGGGTTGTAATGCCCTAAGCAGCTTTCAGAACCCACAAGTGTCAGCCCCTAATTGGCTTGGGGCAGCTTAAGCAAGGCCCTGGGGCGTTAATTACCACTGGGCTTGTTCTAATTAACTGAGGAGAGGTGTGAAAGCGTGTCACTGTGATGGGAGTGGATCTGAACAGCCTCTGCTTGGTCCATGCACGGCTCCGGCCCTGGCTTCTCCCAAAACGGCTGTGATGGCCCTAGGGGTAGAGGGGAGCCCTGCACCCCCCAACTCCTGTGCACGGGGGGGCA